ACAGTCATCAAGCTGATTGGCATCATCTTCAAGCTTATCATCTGGATACTCACTGTTCTTTTCAAAGGGGTGTCGGCGGTTGTCGTGGGGATGAGCAAATGCATCACGAGCAACAAGCTGTAACCGATTATATGCGGGCTAAATCTTTAGCCTGGACCAGCACAAAGCACGGCGTTGTGTGGTCAAAAGCGAAAGGGTCAATTTTTTCTTTTCTTTTCCGGAAGCGCAGGCGTAGACACGGCGGAACCATTGTACTTTCTTACGACTATCATCTCTTCCACAGCAGGCTCTTCCGAGTTGCTGTTTTCCAATAATTCCTGTATATACTTTTCCATTCTTCAACCTAGGTGGCTCGCAGATCAAGGACATATTTGCTCTTATCGTTATGCTCAAAAGATAACCGTGAACACCCGAACTCCTCTTATTCCATATGTTTCGTATCTAAATGAGATGAAACCAAAGTCCATCACAGCACAAAAGTCGGCCCAAAAATATCGCTCGTTTTTCTCTCCCTCTCCTCACCGCTTCCGCTCGCGGACCTTGATCTTCTTGCCCGACTTTGTGACGCCGCCCATGGCCGTCGCCGTCTTGGCCATCATGGCACGCTGCAGCTCGAGCTTGCTCTCAGCCCGCGCGAGCACCGTGACCTTACGACGCGCCGCCTCGAGCCGCCGCTCGAGCTTGCCCAGAAGCGCCTGCTTCTGCTCGACGCGCAGCTTGTCCTCCTCTTCCTTTGTGCGGGCCTGCGGTGGCTTCTTGCTGGCTTTGATCGTGGCTGCTGCCGCGGTCTTGCCGCCACTGCTGAGGGCGTCGTCGTCTGACATGCCGTCAGCGTCGTCGGCGCTGTCGTCGAGCAGCATGGCCATGTCGTCCCCGTGCAGCATTTCGTCTCTCCCCTCGACGTCCTCGGAAAAGACAAATTTCCTCTTCTTCTTGCCCGAGCCTCCCTCCAGGTCGTCATCCAGACCAGCAAACTCATCATCACTGTCCTCCCCACACCTGCCGCCGCCGTTCCCCGCTGGACACCCAGCCCCTCCAGACTCCGCCCAGCGCAATCACGCGCTCCTCGAGCACCTTCACATCCTTGCCCGCCACGTTCCTCATGGTCCGGAGGTACCCCAGGTCCTGCGTCTTGAGCAGGCGACTGACGTCGACGTCCATGCCCTTGAGGCTGCCCCTGTCCCCGTCGACGATGCCGTCCCACTTGCGGCCTTTGCTCGACGTTGCGCCGCGCACGGGACCCCGCGGCGCCCTGCCGCCTCTGCTCATCATCCCAAAGTAGAACTCGTCCTCGTTCTTGTCGGCCGCCTTGGCCCGCAGGTTCTTGAGCGTGCGCTGCTTCTTCTTGTGGTCCGCCGCCCGCAGCGAGTAGTCCTTGTGCTTCTCGAGCAGGCCGTACCGCGCGCGCTCGAGTGGCTGCGCGCGCTCGCGGTGCTGCCGCCGCTGCACGGCGTTGCGCATCGACGACGACATGGTGGTGGTGGTGGTGGTGGTGGGCTAACTGTTGTTGTGCGTTGCAGTCCAAGGGCGATAGCTCTGTTGCTACAGTAGACCCTGTGGACGTCGAGGTGCAGAGAGAACCGACGTGTCGTGTCAAGGCTCTAGTGTGTGCGTTCGTTTCTCGGACTTGAACGCTTGCGCTGTTGTCGTGGAAGGCGCTCGTGTTTTGTCGTCGGCCGTGCTCGGTGGGTAGTCGACAGTCTTGCGGACTCCAGTCTATCTTATTACCTGTGATTGCGATCGTCTCTGTAGTGTCACGCCTCCCTGTGGGCAATGTCGTGGTTTGCAGGCTGGTCAGGTATTGCGCTTGGAATGGCTGATGGGAAGTCTGCTGCAAAATGCATCACCCCAAGGATGCAAGTCTGAATTTCAACTTTTTAGTGGGGAAGGGACTTGCTCCACCTTTTAGCACTCTTAGCGCCAAAGCCCGTCCTCGAGCGTTAACACAGCAGGAGGGGAGGGGGGCTTTGAATAATGGAACCCAACATCAGCTGAGTCTGGACGGTGAATATCGGTCGAGCTTGGATCCTTTACTGAAATCTGTACGGATCAGCGCGAGCGAATAAACACTCTAGCAGGCCATGTAGAGACTTTGATTTAATATAGACTACACAACCACTCGACAGACTATTCAACTCCAGCATCTAGCACTTCAAATTGATCCCCCTTCTCTTCTCTGTCTCCCGGATCTCAAACATGACCTGAGTACCACAGAACAGCGCAATCAAAGCCCCGGCCATGAAAGTCGTACCTGGGAATGGACAAGCAAAGTTAGCAAAGCACATCCTCAAACAACAAGCACCCAAAAGACGATCCGTGAGTTTTCCTTACCTGAGTGATCTTTCGTGATTCCGCTGATGATCTGCTTCATCCCATCCACCCCCACGGCATACCCAATCAGATTCGCCGTCATCATCATGAGGACGTTGACAACCGCACCGAGAGACGCTATCATGCGGTAGGCCGTGGGCCGCGACTCCCACTTGCGTTTCGGGAAGAGCGCGCCCGCCATCATCTCGGGCATCATGAAGAACACGACGAGCCAGCCCCAGATGAGCAGGCGGAGCTGGATGTCGTGCCAGATGGCGACAAACGTAAAGACGAGCATGTAGGTCGTGATCGACCGCGCGGCCCCGGCCCAGCCCTTGAAGCTCGCGCCACCGAGGGGCATGTATATGTAGCGCACGGAGAAGCGGTAGAAGCTGCGGTGCCAGCTGCGCCAGAAAGAAAGGGTGCTGTAGTTGTCGCTCACGCAGCGGATCATGTTCTCCGGCGGGTCGATGCCGTCGACGAGCGCCCAGAGGCGGAAGAGCCTCCATGGCAGGAGAAGCTTGAGCCAGATGAGGTGCAGCTGGAGGAAGCTCAGCATACAGAGCTGGGCAGCTGTGTAGTCGGCCCAGTTGGGGTTCGCATTGGAAATTGCCTGCACGTACTCGAAGTGCAGCACGACCTCCATGACGAGGAGGGTGATTAAAAACCGAATGCCGTATCGAATTGTGCGGCTTGTCTCGATAGTTGCAGACTTGTATCTCGCTTGGGCGATGTAGTCGTTGAACGTAATGATTGGCCCAGTAAGGTAAAGCGGCGCGTAGATGGCATATGCCACGTAGTTGCGGAAAGAGTAGTCTCTTGGCTGCGCGGGGATACTTACACGCTCGCGCTCGCTGAGTGCTGCAGGGTCGAGTTGCTTCTTCTAGGACAATCACCGTCAACAAACGTCTCTACAGGAAGGAGTAGTGATCCCAGATATTCGGCATACCTCTAGGATGTCTTGTTGACTGCGGTCCAAGCTCCAGTAGTAGTCCAGGTTGAAGCTGATGAGCCGCAGCACAGTTATGTTGAACAGAATCTCCCAACGTCCCATGATACCGCCGTAGCTGTCAATCCACTTTCCCCACGTAACAAGGCCTACCTCGGTGTTCAACGCCCCCTTTGCTGAGATACCCACGAAATAATTCGCGACCCGCTCCATTTTAAAGCCCTGAGTGAGCTCATTGGCAAACAAAAGACCAACGTTGAATATCCATGTGGCGGTAGGAACGTACTTCCGGGGCAGAGCCGTGGCGATCTTGAAGTTGAGGAGCAGGATCAGAAGTACTTTGGCAGCCGAGAAGCCGTGTAGCACTATCAGGAACTTGATGGCGAACTTGAAGTCATAACCTGTCCGCTGGTCAAGGCGGAGTTGGGCATCCTCGGCCGCAGTTGTCGTCGTCAAATCGCTAGTCTTCTTGCGATGAAAGATGGCCGCGTATACTCGGCGCATGACTGGGTGGACGAGAAGCAAAGTTACCATATACGGTAGGTTTGTACGAAAGGAATGGTATTGCGAGTCCGATACGTCCTGGAAGGATAGTCAGTTACCGCGTCAAAGGTCAAGGCAATCGGGACTCGGGCTTACGATCATACGACCAGGGATCCAGCCTGGGGACAGGAGTCGCTCAAACTTGTGATAAGCGGGATGATCGGCTGTAATCAAGGCCCAAGTAAGTCATTGTGGCCCCCTCTACGGACAGACATCGGTCCGGGATTTCTGGAGACTACACACCTTTCGAAGCTTGGTAGGGGATGTAGAACATGGGCGGAATTATGGCGGCGATGTATATTAGGTACAGATAGAACTCGGGCGTATTCCACTTGGAGGGCTGGCCGGCCGAGCTCCAGCTCGCGGCGCGCGCCTTGCTGCTCTTCGCATCGCGGTCATCGCGGGCATCGACAACGGTCTTGTACGGAACGGTGGAGGGGTTCGTGAAGCGGGTGTCGAGAGTGTCGAGGTCGTAGAGATTACGAAGAAAGGAGAGGACGGCAGCCATTGCGGCAGGCCCGGGACCTGGTCGAGTTCGCAGGCTGCTAGGGTTTGGTTGGAAAGAGGTCGAGTAAGTACAGGCGCTCAGTTACGACGCATAGCTCAAGTCTCTGAAGCTTGACGGCGTTTTCAGGGAGCTGATGTAGTTTCGACAAAGGTGCACGTGCAAGTGGTGTCTCGAGATGCCAGTTTAGGAGAGGTCCTGAGTGGAGGGCCTGCGGGTCCCGTTCAATCCACTAATCCAGGGGTCGTGGTGTTCTCGAAACGGCTAACGTCGGTACGAAGACAAGCTGCGTTCTCGCATCGACTGTCACTTAGGATTGATCTTGGTCTGATGCGACTTACTCATCAAGAAACCAATGGATGTCACGAGGAGTATGGGAGTCATTCTTTCTCCCAGCGTGTTGAAACCGAGGAAGGAAAAGGAACAAAATTCACTGCATTCGATATCTTCTACAACTGTGAAGGGAAACTCGCTTACCAGATTCACAATTACATCAAATCACGAGCCTTCATAAATATCGCAGGCGGTTTCCAAAGAAGAAGAAGAAGAAGAAGAAGAAGACGAAAATATGGTAACAAACCAAGCCGAAATAGAGGAAACAGGGATGCTCAGAACATCGTTGACCGCAAAAAGCCGCCAAAAGCCAAAAAGATGGTGCGATAGATCCCACTTAGTGGGATGCATCGGGAATTGAGCCCGATGCGGGGGTCGAACCCGCAGCCTTGAGATTGGAAGTTACTCAAGATGTATGAATAAGAGTCTCACGCTCTACCGATTGAGCTAACCAGGCAGTTCTGTGAACTAATCATTTTGATCTCAGCGATCTTTATTCTGCCCTATATTAGCTTTGCAATGGCACATCAAGTCCTGTGCTGATGAATCATAGTAGTATTAGCGCGATCTCAGGCCGAGGAGGACATAGGGACCTAGGCAATGTGTAAAGGGATACACATTTTCGACGTCGAGGATTGAGCAGCGTGATGTGTTAGAACGAGAGGTTTCATACATGGGATAATCCGCATGTGCTTCACACAGATTGTGTAACAGAACCTTTGCTTGGCTGGGAAATTACATAGGTATCTCCTATTGAATCAGTTTCAGTAGATGTAATAGGCCTGTGTTAGTGGCAGCTCTTCCGACGGCTCCGCCGTGCAGTGTACCCCGTCTGCCTCGACGATGTACGTTTCCGGGTCGACTCTCATCTTCGGCATGGTGTCGTTGAACTTCATGTCCCGCTTGCCAATGTTTCGACAGTTTTTCACCGGCTCGATACGTTTTCGGAGTCCATATGTCTGCACGACGCCCATGTCGATGCTCGCCTGCGAGACGAACAGGACCGACGTAGAGGGCACAAGGGGTGCGTACATAGGCCTGCCAATAATGGGCTGGATCGTAGGAATCGAGGCATTTGGATCACCCTGAGATTTAGCTGTGTCAGTACTGACCAGCCGAACGAGGGGCCATGCCCCATTACACAAAAGCGCCGCCTCATCTTTCTGAAAAGTGCAGACTTACCATCTGTGCCCAGGCAATAAGGCCGCTCTTGACCACCAAATTGGGCTTGGTCCCGAACCAGGCTGGATCCCAGACCACGAAGTCCGCAAGTTTCCCAACCTCAAGGCTGCCGATGAGGTGCCCGAAACCCTGTGTGATAGCGGGGTTGACTGTATACTTGCTCACGTATCTCTTGACCCTGAAGTTGTCTGCTCCGGTGCCCTCGTCCTCCGGGAGATAGCCCCGTTGGACTTTGTTCTTATGTGCTGTGTTCCACGTCCGCAGAATCACCTCGCCACAGCGGCCCATGGCCTGGGAGTCGCTCGAGATCATGCTGATGGCTCCGAGGTCGTGCAGAACGTCCTCAGCCGCAATAGTCTCAGCGCGAATGCGGGATTCGGCGAACGCCACATCTTCGGGGATATTCTTGGACAGGTGGTGGCAGACCATGAGCATGTCGAGGTGCTCGTCCAGCGTGTTGCGTGTGAATGGGCGGGTCGGGTTCGTCGAGCTAGGTAACACGTTCGGGTGCTCAACCACGCTGATAATGTCGGGAGCGTGACCGCCACCAGCACCCTCGGTGTGGTAAGTGTGGATGGTGCGGTTCTTCACAGCCGCGATTGTGCTCTCCACATAGCCAGACTCGTTGAGTGTGTCAGTATGGATGAGGCACTGCACGTCAAACTCGTCACAGACTGTGAGGCAGGCGTCGATTGCGGCGGGCGTTGAGCCCCAATCTTCGTGCAACTTAAGTCCACACTGGCCTGCAATGACCTGCTCTCGCAGCGCCGTCGGGTCGCTATCGTTGCCCTTGCCGGTGATGCCTATGTTGACGGGCAAGGTATCGCAAGCTTGCAGCATCAGTTTTGTGTAGTTTGCTCCAGGAGTGCAAGTGGTAGCACTCGTTCCAGCACTGCGACAACAACCCGTTAGAAGCATGCCTCTTCGGTCACGAACTGTCGTGCAGACTAACGTACCTGGGACCTACTCCCCCTCCGAGGAACGTGGTAATACCTGACGCGAGGGCCTCGTTCGTCTGCTGAGGGCAGATAAAGTGGATGTGCGAGTCTATCCCACCTGCAGTCACAATCTTGCCCTCTCCGGCAATGACGTCCGTACAGCTGCCGACAATCATGCCCGGAGTGACGCCGTCCATGACATCTGGATTACCAGCCTTGCCAATGGCGACAATGAGTCCATTCTTAACACCGATGTCGGCCTTGTAGATGCCGGTCCAATCCACTATCAGAGCATTGACAATGACTAAGTCCAGAGACTGTGAGTCGGGACAACCACTCATCTGACCCATGCCTTCGCGCAACGTTTTGCCTCCGCCAAATTTGCACTCATCGCCGAAGACTGTGAGGTCTTTCTCGACCTTGATCCAAAGATCCGTGAGGCCCAAACGGACGACATCCCCCGTCGTGGGGCCAAACATGGTCTTGTAGGCAGTCCGGTCCATCGAATACCCATCAGTGACAAACGCCATATCGCCTGCCGGTTCTGGGGCATGCGCGAACCCTGCGCGCTGCAGGTTCTCCACGATCTCCGCAGCACGGGACAAGTCGACTTGACCAGAAGCGAGATTGTTGCCGCCACGGATGACCTTGTTACCTCCAATCTCGACCAGCGTCACGGTCTTGATGTCGCCGGGCTCAAACCGCACGGATGTGCCCGCTGGGATATCTAGACGAAACCCGTACGCTCGCTCGCGGTCGAACTCGAGCAGCGGATTGGTCTCAATGAAGTGGTAGTGGCTGCCAATCTGCACTGGGCGGTCACCCTTGCTCGTCACCCGCAGGCGGATCCGCTGGCGGCCCTCGTTTAGCTTGATCCGGACATCCTTGACGACGATGACGGCACCGGGCTCGTTGTGCGGCTCGTACGACTCGGCAGCAGGCATCGGGAAGAGCCGCTGGCTTGGTACAGGCAGGAAGCTGCCATAAAGAGCCTTGGCTAGATCCCCATCTTCTGTTGAGATTGGGTTGTGGACCGTCACGAGATATGTGCCGCTGGGAAAGGTGCCCTCAACCTGCATCTCGTGGAGAGTCGCAGGGACCGAGGGCAGCACATGACGGCGACCGAGCATGGTAGCTCCGATGGCCATGAGATCGGCCACCGTGTGCTGCCCATCACGGATGAGCTCCTGCAAGTTGCTGGCGATCAAGGCCTGTGGCATGTCAGTCTTAGTGGATGCTTCGTTAGGACCTCTTTCGGAGAGGTTCGACGGTGCTCTGCGTGGGTATAATAACTTACATTGGCCTCGGCATGGTTCAGCTTGACACCTCTGGCAAGCCGCTTCTGAGCCAGGAAGCCGAGTTGTGAGACGACGAGCTTATCAAGCTATGTAGTTGTTGGAATGCTCTGGTCAGGACGATCGGCAAGCAGACGACATGAGAGCAAGGGTCTTGGATGTGCACGTACCTCCTTGGGCACGAGATGCATTGTAACGAGACGGTGCAGGCTCCTCGGGGCCTTTCTGTCTTGGTGTCCGATCAATTGAGGCTGGCAGATGAAGAAGGGGATTTTGGTTCCAGCCTCCGGCTTCCAGGCTGTATCTACGCGGACTTGGGCTGGCAGCTCCGACTGATAAGACTAGAGCAACCCTGGAGAGCCTCGAACCTCCAGAGCCTCTCCCGTCGGGTCCCCTGCCGCTGCAGGAGCTGCTGGGTGGGGTGTTTGGTGGTTGCAATCAGGCGCCCCTGACAACTGTGACGCAAGCCAACTTGACCCTGATCGGAACCCCTCATCGAAAGAATATCAGCACATACCATTTCATGTCTGCCATTGTCCAAACGCATTTATCACTCCGACTTGATTTGACCATCTCTTCAACAGCCGAAACACAACCTCTCCCATCATGGCCGACGAAAAGAAAGCTGCCGAGACAGCTGCTGAAGCAATTGCGAACCAAGACAACAGCACCGCCCCGTCCACGACTTCCCCCTCTTACGACAACACCGCCCGTGAACACAGCAACCTCCCCCTACGCCAACCGACAGGACGCGGTCCCCCTGGCGGCGGTCATGCACGACGCGGCAGTATCCCGCCCGCGCCTCTTGAGTTGCCGGTTTTGAAATACATGAAGACGCATCGGGTCATCCTGGCCTCGGCCTCGCCACGACGCAGAGCTATGTTTGCCCAGATAGGCATGCCAAACATCGAGATTCTGCCCAGCACCAAGCCAGAGAACCTGCCAAAGGCCGAGCTCGGGCCATACGAGTACGTGGCGGCTACAGCGCAGCAGAAGGCGTTGGACGTGTACCAGCTCGCTGTGGAAAAGGCCGCAGAGGCTGCAGAGTCTGGAGCGAAGCCCGAAGAAAGCGGGCTCAACAGCAGAAACATAGCGAAGGAGCCTGACCTGGTTATATCCGCCGACACAATCATCGTCTCCCGCGAAGGCCGGATTCTTGAGAAGCCGGTGAGCGAGGCCGCGCACATCAGAATGCTGCAGCATCTGCGGGACACGAGGGTGCATAGGTGCTTGACGGCGGTCTGTGCAGTTGCGCCGAGGGCAGACGCAAGCCACCCGGGCTACGAGCTCCAGACACACGTCGAGGAGACCAAGGTGTTCTTTGCAAAGGAGAGCGACGGCCTGCCGGACGACGTGATTGAGTCGTATGTCAAGACGAGAGAAGGCGTTGACAAGGCTGGCGGCTATGCCGTGCAGGGCATTGGCGGCATGATTCTGATCGAGAGGCTCGAGGGCAGCGTGGACAATGTCATTGGCCTGCCCATGCGCAAGACTCTGCAGCTCTGTGAGCGCGTTCTGTTCAAGCAAGGCGTCAATGATGACGAGGACGATGACGATGACGAAGATTACGACTACTGAGGTATCAAGAAGGGGCATCTCTAACGAAAAGCATGGAGCAGTGGAAGAACGTGGTGACACAGCTCAAGCGTGGTTCTAAATGATTATATTACAAACATATACCGTGATCTGCAATAGACGAGACAGTTCAAAGTTGTATGTGCAGTACGTGTTACGAAGCTACATCATAAGATTATACAAGGAACTGTCGATGCCTGTAAGTCAGGCCTCCATGCTTGAACCGAGACCACTTGGTGCAGGAAAGAACAAAAGCACCGGCAAGCATACGCTATGCCGACAGATTTTCATAGGCATCTGACACGCTGGAGAATGAGTGCGCACCCGAAATAATGAACCGATTTTCTCGCATGGTAGAGTAGACAATACTCTCTTGTGAATACATAGACCCATGTGCCTGGTACCTGAAGAGGGGGTGGTTACGGTAGTGCTTAAATTAGTGCCGTCTCCACGTCGCTACTCGAGGC